GAATATCTATTATTATTATATAAGCCATTATATTATTATCAACATACGTTACGGCCAATATCGACGTATACGTAAGTAACTGTTGAGTACCTATAGTTTATATTTTGACGTCGTGTTGCGTGGGACAAGAGTATATACTATACCCACGGACTGAGATATAATATTATAATTTATAATGGACTGGAAACAGTGGAAACGGACAGCTTATCAGTGGTCTCGAAAGTATGTCAAGAAGTAAATGCGGGGGCCGGGGGGTCGCAACCATAATCGACGAGCCTACAAATGCCATAGATCCGGTGGTAAGTATTACTGTTGCGGAGCCACTGTTCATGTATTTATTCGATATCTACGTCAGATACTTCGATATCTAACATTCAAATAATTACCGCGTGAATTTAAATATTATAATCATTATTATTAATATAAGTAAATAATAAAATTGAGTATTGTAATTTTTATATCCTAAATCTAAATTATTATATTTATAACAAAAAAAAAAAAAAAAAAATACAATAATGAAAATTCTAACACGTCCTACAAAAAAAAAAAAAAAATAATAATAATAATTTATTAAACTTTATCTATATACATTTTCCATGTATAGGAATTCCCGCGTTGTATATAATTGTATCTTTAATAGTTTAATATCAATGATCTTTATTGAAATCAAGTGTCACTTCGAATATGGGTCGTATTATTATTATCACCATATATCGACCTACACAATTTGTATTACTGTTAATACTGTAGTCTTTCAGGGGCGTCATTTGGGGGGGTGCAGGGTGTACATTTGCACCAACATTTTTTATAAACGCCTTCTTTGGCCTGCCAACAATAAATATAAGCGCCGATATACCTAAGTGTTATATATTAATTATATATTATATATATTTTATATTTTTTCAGTATTTAAAAAAAAATAATAAATATTATAGGTATTAATAGGTTTTATTTCCAAAAATGATCGATGTGGTTGTGTGGTTATATCATAGACAGAATATAAAATAATAATAATATAATTAATAATTATGTCTATGGGTTATATATATTTTTTATTCTCTAGAATGATATTATTACCATCGAATATATAAATATCTGTGGGTATAATATTATGCTGATATAGATTTCTTATCACGCTCCAGTATCTCCCTACTCGTTATAATAAGAAAACAACATGATATATAATTCCCATCAAAAGAGAAAAAATTGTCTATCCTAACCTAACCTAACCACAGAATATTATTTGTTTACATTTTTACCCTTGTCACTTACTTTCTACGGTAGAAATGATATTCTATGGTAGAAATTCTACCACCAATATTAAATATCCTGTTTGAAATTTTTGATGTATCCAGCAATAATTTTTTTAATCCTAACTGCCCTCATTTAATATTCTTTACAAACCATTATAGTTATTTTCAATTTAATGAGTCTAAAATGTTATCCGAATTTCCTTCTGCAAAATCCTTGATTCTTAAAAAAAATATAACCGATTTGAATTTAAATGACATTATTTCCTGTTTAAAAGATTTTCCAGTTGCTTTTTCAGAAACATTAAAAATAATATCTTTAGTTTTAACTTTACCTATAAGTACGGCTTCTAATGAAAGATTTTTTTCCTCACTTAAAATAGTCAAGTCTTATATTAGATCAACCATGGGAGATGAGCGCATAAGTGACTTATTAGTGGTTAGTGTGGAGAAAGAAGAGGCCAATAAAATCAATCTAAATTATGCTGTAGATTCATTTACTAAGTTGAAAAATCGAAGATATCCACTAATGTAATATAATATGTAATGTATTAAGTAATATTATTGCCTTATGATAATAAATGTTTTTATTTGTGTAACTAAATGATTTGTTATTAAATTGAATTTAAGTTGTTAAATTAAAATTAGATGTGGAAAAAATTGGAAATAGGAATTAAGTATATTGTGCCATTTTGAAAAAGGTAACCCATAAAACAAATTTCAGGTTTAGGGGTTTAGCTATATTATTTATTTTGAGTGTGCAGGGAGAAAAAATGTATAGGTTAAGTTCGATTAAATACTATTAAGGTGCTTTATATCCATAAATTTGCTTACCAAATACAACTGGCATCCACAATATAATATAAACTTATTAAAAGTACCTACACATAGTTCTTCAAAAATATAATAGACCCCCCCCCCACTAAAGAAAAAAAAGTTTTCTATGTGGCCTGGTAACAATTTGAATGGCCTGCAAACATTTTCGCACCAACAAAAAAAAAGTTGAAATGACGCCCCTGTAGTCTTTAGTATCTGAACATTAATGCTGCAGGTATTTATTTTGTTGCTAGTGTATAAATGTCATAACATTATTAAAAGTATAAGTAATATACGTATAGTATTAATTATTTTGTATAATATGTCTTTTGTGGTGCCAAAAAACAAGGCAAATAAATAAAACTAAATTTTCTTAATTTTAGGATTTTTTAGCAATAGCATTAAAGATAAATTTGAATTATTAATTATTATGAATAATAATAGAAGGACGTGTTAGAATTTTCATTATTGTATTTTTTTTTTTTTTTTTGTTATAAGTATAATAATTTAGATTTAGGATATAAAAATTACAATACTCAATTTTATTATTTACTTATATTAATAATAATGATTATAATATTTAAATTCACGCGGTAATTATTAGAATGTTAGATATCGAAGTATCTGACGTAGATATCGAATAAATACATGAACAGTGGCTCCGCAACAGTAATACTTACCACCGGATCTATGGCATTTGTAGGCTCGTACCATAATCGAGAGTTTACAACGCCATCTGTTGACTAAATATTTAGTCAAACTAAGATTTCAATTATTTTGTTGCAATTTAAATAATATATTACAATTTTACAGGGAGGATAATATTATGAGAGTTGAGACTGGCTCTGAGTAGGTACATGTGGAGGACATAAAATAAATACATTTAATAGCAATACAATTTACGGATCAATATAATAATGTACTAATAAAGTCTGACCGTCTTCTCATGAGTCATAATCGTTATTCCTATATGATTATATTTTATTTCATTGAATTCAGACGTTCTGTTGTGCAGTGAAGTGGTACCACGGCCTAAGATATAATATGATAATTTGTTTTCATGTTAATAAGTAAAATAATATTACCAATTTAAATTTTTTATTTTTAGGTACCTAGGTGGCTAGGTACCTATTTACAAGTTTAGAACATTTTTTTTTATTTGCATTTTTTTTATCTGATTAGTGTTTATCATATTTGCATATTGTCGCATTCTCATAATTATATATTGAGATATTATGAACATTAGAACATCACTTTTGTGAAGGGAACATGGAAATTCTATTGGATCATAATTTTCTAAGAAATGATCTATATTTAAATCAAATACATCAATTCTTCCACAAAATTTCAAAAAGGAATTCTCAACATTTGACAAAATGTTGAAGACAAATTTATTAGGATGAGTCAAACCACCTTTTGATTTTAAGTTTAAAATTGAAGCTTCAGGTTTTTCTGAATAAGTTGTTTTACCTAAAAAACAAACAAAATTCCAACAGTTCATTTAAATAAAATTTATGAATAGACACAGTACCTGTTACTGCAGTCCTGCAAACATTACATGTTATAGATTTTGTAAAATGTTTTGTGATGTATCCACATATATAATAAATTACACAATCTTTTGTGTCAGCTTTATAATAATTATGAATGTCTTCATCAAAAACAATATCTATACCTATCTGTTTGTTGTTTAGCTAATAAGTCCAATTTATTTTTCAATGATTGGAGCTTTAAATTACGCTCAGCTATATTGTCATTAAATATAGTTTTCATATCATTGATGGTAATTTTGGAGGTATTGTCATCTGAAACTTTACAATTACCGGTTTTAGGCGGTTTTAAAATTGAATAAACTGATAGTGTTTTATACACTTATAAAAATGTTGTTGAACATTAACTAACAAGGGGTGGTCATTTGGACCACTAACCTGTCTAGCCATACCAAAGAATTGCTAATTGACAATAAAATAAATGTAAAATATATAATATATAAAATATATTTTTATATATTGTATATTAGGTACATATTATATAGCAACAATATTATTAGTTTTAAAATATTTATTTTAGATTTTACCTATTTCTATGATAAATATTTTTTTTATTTTTCGCTTAAATTTCGCTTAACTAATAATAGTGTTACTACTTAATACTATATTAATAAATCAGTTGTTATTTTTACTTCTATTTGGTCTTGGTTAAATTTAGAAGACAAAACATATTTGAATTTGCATTTCTCCAATAAATATTTTGATAGTTCAATAGTTGATCTAATAGTGACCCGTAAACCATCCGCTGTTGATTTGGTTAAAAATTCTTCTTTTGTAATATTCTGTTTATTTAGTTGGTCTTCCCAATCATCAAGCCATTTATGATTATCTTCTAGAATCTAATTAGAAAAATAAATAAATGTATAAAAAAAATATAACATTTATGACTATTTATTATATTAAAACCTCAGTCTTTGCTATTTATTTGTATGCCTTCTGCAGGGTGTTTTCGCTTTAAAGCATCAAACAATTTGTTAAAACGATCAGTAAATAACTGTGTTTCATAACTATTTTGTAAGCTCTTTATTTTAGCATGTTCCCCGTAAAATTCAATCCCTCTAGCCATTGAGTTATTAAAAATCTAAATGCAACACAAATTTAATGAAATTAACATTGATTACACTGTTCAATTAAAATATATTAAAACATATTCACTTGTGTGGCCAATTTAACTTTCATCTTACTGAAACTATCAATAAATATATGCCTATGCGTGATTTTAGGGCACACTTTAGTTGGTGCATTCAAACTATTATTCAAATCGTTGTCAAAGACTTCAACGTAATCATTCCATCTGATGTAGGGTTTTGTTGGTGATTCATATATATTATATTAGAATTTTAGAGGTTTAAATCAAATTATTTTTATAATAAATTGTATAAAATTATAAAATATTTACTCTTAAACTCTTTTTGTTAATCAATCTATTCCGTACATTCTTGATAAGATGGGGTGCATCAGAGAACACATAAATATGTCTGTCACTGTCCAGAGGATGGTCAAATTTGTTTTTTAAATTATCTTTTTCACCACTTACTCCCAGTTCAGACCATAATTTTCTGTTACTAGTTGCTCCGTCTGACACTAATCCATCAACCTTAGCACCAGCATTCTCAAGTAGACAAATTGCTTTGATGACTAATTGAGCCAAAACTGTACCTATAATGGTTATTGAAATAGGTATATTTTATAGTTACCATGCATTTTAAGAAACATTAATAACTTACTATTCAAACTGAAACAGCTTATTCAGTGTACAATTTTGGCACTCACAATACATTTAGGAACATAATAATTAGAATATTTTTATGAAATTAGGTTATTTAATTCCATTAAGAATTATAATAATCTCTAGAACACAAACATTTAGGCATGCACCATAAACAGTAAAATTTAAACTTTAACGTATACCTACTTAAAATTATAACAATATCTAGAATACAACTCACAAGCATTTTAGCATGCACCATAAACACTAATATTTAAATACAAACCTATGATATTCAAAAAAAATATAGAACACAACATAGAAAGCATTTAGAGTTTTTGGTTTACTTGTGTACCTTTAACAGGGTCTCTTGAAGCAAATATAGCTATTGGTTGTGTGAAGTTGGCAGAAAAACTCTGAAAAAGAAATACTAACCCATGGTTAGCTTTTAACCCTGATGTTGGTGCCTCACCACCAAAATCTTCTAAACCCTTATACGTTGAATTTTGCGAATCAAAATTTACACTCTCGCGAACAAATATTTCATCAAATAACAACATCCCATGTCTTTGCTCTGGTCTTAGCATTTTGATTTTTTTTTTGAAATAACTGGAAAAATCGTTCATCAAAACCACATTGTTTTTACCAGTTGTAAATATCTCCTAATTGTCCGTATGCAAGGTAAGGGTAAAATATCTTGGTCTCTTAAAAAAGAATATGTAGCCGAAGATCTGCAAATAAATAAAAATGTATTTATTATTCCTTAAGTCTACAACAATTACATTATATTATAATTCAAACTTACCGAATTTTCAACAAAACACATAAAAGAATCCAATCTTCAGAATACTTTCTATTTTGTTTTTGTCCGAATTTACTTGAATTTATTATTTCTTTGACTAAAATTTTTTGAGAATTACTTAAATTTTCTGAATCTAAAATATGTTGTACACATTCATTTGATATTATCCGAGTTTTTTCTTGAAGTTCTCCTAATTCAAAATTAATATTTTTAATAATAGTCCGTAACCTGAAAATTATGAATCAATAGGTACCAATGCATTATATATTACCTATAATTTAAATCAAACCTAAAATTGTACATCCTAATTATGCATTTAAATAAATATGTAATTAATAAAGTATTGAATTTTATAATAATATATTACCTTGTATTGGATTTTTTCAAATTTTTTTTACTAATCTACGTCTTGTTGGTGTAAGAGTACATCCAATATATGTTGATTGTTTCACTTTATTCAATTTCTAAAACATTTAATTAAGTTGATGCAGGCTGAACATGTTTTTTTTTCTCATTTAAAATTCTACATTTTTGGTGACGCTACAATTGATTATTTTCCAAGGTTGCAGTTTTTATCCGAACTCCTGAAATCATATAGGTACATAATCAACAAAGTATCTAATACATCTAATAAAGTATCAATTTATAATTGCATTTTATTGGCAAAATGGATAGGAATAATGTTTACCTGGAAAATCTATTGATCTTGAACCACCTACACACATTGTTTTTAAATCAAGTATTTTAATTGCTTGAGATAGATTTGTTAAGCTAATTGGATATTTTAAAGTCTTGCTTATATTTTCAATTTCAATAGTATATTGATAAACATAAAAACATATTTCCAATGTACTTTTAAAAACTAGTTGTTTTTCAATTTTCATTTTACCATCATCAAACTTTGGTTTATAAAAAACAATATCATGTTGAGTAACATGTGTTGTCCATCCTCCTGGTAATATGGCTTTTCTAAAATGTATTCTTAGGTCATTAAATGTGAATAGCTCATCAATAGTTTCCTAAAGAAATCAAGTTTGAAAGAAATATATTATATTATTTAATATTAAAATAATTAAACTAAAAACTATACTTCAAATAATTTTAAACGTTTATTCATGGGCTCTCCATTTAACTCAGCTGGTTCAATATCTATATTTTCAATGAATAATTCTCTACGAACTGATTTGTTGACTCGTTTACTTAAACACTTGGCATATTTGTCATCAGAAATCAAATTATTGACAGAAGATATAATGTCATTACTCGTTTTGTCAACAGAAGAAAAAATGGAAGGAACAACCCCCTTTTTCAATCTAACTAAATCTGACTTTCCGAAATACTACAACATAAAACAATTAAATAATTATGTATCAACAAATTAAATAAAAGTAGGTAGGTACATAATACTTACATCGGGAATATCGGGTGGTAACAAATAGGTATTTATTGTATCTTCCGGTCGAAAATGTTCGGCACTTACAAATTTTACAACCATTTCCTCACAGTTAGCATTACTCACAGCTAATTTCCAAGCTAAGTAATTGGCTTTTGGTGCACTAAAAAAAGGAATCTTGGGATTTCTTTTTTTACTGGTTCATCCTTTTACACTGCACTTACGAAAATCCATCATTAAAATTTATTTATTAATTAAAAATTGTTTTAATAATAAATAAATAACCATTTCTAAGTGTTTACGGAATACTGGGCTAAGTAAATAGCCCACGAAAACGCGATCATGGTTTGGATTGTGACGCCAAATAAAACCACTGGTAGCGCTGAAAACTCTCGATTATGAGTGTTGATGATAACAGAGACACCAGCTTTTGCGGGCCGTCCCCCGTCACCCGCCCACCTTGTCGTTTCCAGTCCATTATGTTTTATAAAAAAAATAGTCCGTGAGACCGTGACTATACTAGTATACTACAGATATACCATGGCTGATGGCTAGGTTCACATGAAGAGCGTTAAACGCGCGTTTACAATAAATGAATGCAGCCATAGATTATGCAGCATTATATTATACTTATCTATGAATGCAGCTGTATTATAACGCGCGTTTACAGTTTTCCGACGCGTTGCAACTCGCGTCGTCAATCGTCATTCATCCTGTGTAAATTTTCTAAAAGCGCGTTTAACAGCTCTCATGTGAAGTGTGAACTAGGCCTAAGGCTCTAATCGTCGGACATGTCGCAAAGTGCCAACCAATATCGCGGTAACCGGTCGACTGGGTCTGGATGGTGGAGTCGCGCTATTCATTATATCTTTCCACATATCACGGTCGTATCGTATTATTTGTTATTATTGTTGTTCATTTTACGGTCTTACTATAATTTATTGTTGTTTACTACTTTGCAATACGTACGCAAACACAGTGTTTGCTGACGTAGGTATCTTATTATTAATTTCACTGTGGAGACGTCCAACCTTTTGAATTAATTTATTCAATATTTATTATTCCCAATCGATTGGTCCATATTATTATATTTTCATTATTATACCATCAATTTACAGTTTTTGTTAATTTAAAGTATTAATATCCTACTTGTAAGTACGAGTCATTGGGGCGAACTCTTCCTTAAGAGCTCCATTGGCGAACAGTCTGAGTATAAGGAAGAGGAATAAATGTGCTGAATATCTTCAGTATGTTATTTACTAAACATTTTACTATGGTATTCAATTTAAATAAACCCATCATATTTCTCAGTTACTAGATTGTTTATAAGTTATAACTTATAACATATATAATTTACATGCATATATGATACATACATAATACATATATTATATAATATTAAATTATAATTAGTAACAGTATTAAATATAAAAATGAATTACCCATTAGGTTTTACTTGGCAAGTAATGAATTTACAGCATAACTGTGACCAAAGAGTCTATTAAAACAAGCTAAGTAGTATCAACTATCAAGTCAATAATAAAAGCGTTTACATTTATAAGTATATTTTAAAAAGAATTTAGTATCATTAAGATTTTATTACATTATTATTCATATTAACTGCTTCTGTCATTCATATCATAGTCATGTACAAACACGTCATATTATATATTATCTAATACATAAATACTAAAAGTTATATATTGTATACTTTCAGATAATTTTTCAGGATTTTTAAACTAAATTCTTGATATAAAAAGTTTACAGTAAGAGATTCCAAACTGTAGATTGTGACAGAATCAGATATACTTATTTAAATGTACTAATATTCTATAGCATGTGGTAAGAATCGTATTTTACTATTTCAAAATATTACTTATACATTATCCTTAAAATTGAATGAAAGGTAGAATGAAAATACTGAAAATATAATATGTAATTTAGAAATAAAACAATTTAAGCTCAATAACAAGATTATTGAACATGATTATTTCTAATGAAAACTATTAAATTATCATAATGTTGATAAATTGATTTTAAAACAAAGCACTATTGGGTGTACCTTTATAATCAATCATCATTATAAAATAGTTTGTCATTGAATATTATTTTAAGCACCTTCAAAACATAGACATTACAAGTTACATCTATAATTTTTTCCATGGTATACATAATATTACATTTAACTATTTAAGTATCTATATGCTATAATAGGTACCTCCTAAAAGAATATTTCAGACTTTCCCATTTTTTTCTAAATTTTCAATAATTAATAGAAACCTTTTAGTAATCTACTGAACAAATGATGGTAAAAATAATTTAAAAGTGGAATTTATGCTTAAGGTAATTCATCTAACCTAGATTTTTTACTTTAAAAGTCTCTGATGAGTGCATGATTTTGCAATACACAGAAATATTCATAAAATAGATTAATGCACAACATTACAATAGATCAGGGGTCTCCAAACTACGGCCAGCGGGCCGGATACGGCCCGCCAACAAGTTTTAACCGGCCCGTGGCCCGCATATGTAAATATGATAAAAAAATGATTTCAAAAATGTATTTATATTATATTATATTTATACCTATTTATTTTATTTAAGTATATTGTAAAGTAACCAATATTTTATACAAAAATATAAAGTAAACATATTTATTTACCTATATTATCATAAAATTAAAAATTATATGTGTTAATAAACTTTTGGCCTGCTAAGAGCATTTGATTTTTTTTGTGGCCCTTGAATAAAAAAGTTTGGAGACCCCTGCAATAGATTGATATTATTCTATTATAAATGTTCAATCTTAAAAATACATATCTGAATACTCAGTATAAAATTACTAGAAATACCTACTTAACATTTTGGTATATTTTATTTATACTGAACACACATTTTTTGCAATATTTTTTTTGTTTTTGTTTTAAAGTATTGTTAATCATGCTGAAAACGACGAGAAAGTCAGAATATGGCAGTCAAATTAAGTTTCAAAGTTATAGCTATTTAAAGTTCTAGACCCACCCAAAGTGTATATACATAACAAGTCAAGGGATGTTTTCGATTTTAATTGTCCGAACGAGTGATGAAAGGTGTATAATATGTATGAAAATACTATAAATTTAAATTAACATTAAAACTAAGTTTGATTGCCACATTATGACTTCACCATCATTTTGAATATGCTTATCTACATAAGTTAAACAAATAAACATAGTTGAAAACAGAAAAGTTCCAATAATGGTAAAATGGATTTTTTTTTTATTAATTAATTTTTTTCTTATTATTATAATTATACTTTAGATTTACATGTCATACTTTTACAACTAAAACTTTTGTTTTCTGTATTGCCTATATTAAACATTAAAAAATAGTGAATGTGGATATAATGACTTATAATAGGTAATATAGATTTTGAGATTAATCATTAACACTCACCATGTTTATATACGGATATAGGATTGACAGAATTATGCACACATAATAGAGCAGCCCATGATATTGTCCATTTGTTGATGGCATTACCTCTTCTGCCACAAAACTTAACCATGGAGGGGTTTGAAAGTATCAAAAATGTCTACGGTGAAAATGTGCAGTTAAGTTTAGGCGAAAATAGAGGACAATTTAATGCACTTTTTGATTATTATCGGTCGACATGGCTACAAGGTCTGTAGATATAAAAAAATCTACAGTTATATATTTAATAACACTAACTAAATATTATATTATTTTTTTATGAATAATAGGAGTTAACTCAGATATGTTATCGGTGAACGATACAGTTTGGCGCACCAATAATGTACTGGAAGTCAGCCATCAACACTTACGCGCGCATATGGGAAACAGACAACAGCCAGAACCGTGGATATTTCTGAGTAATAATAATGATTTATTAATAAATTAAATTAATTATTTAAAATATTATATAGGTAACTATATAATATAATAAAAAAAGGTAAGGTCAGTGGTAGTAGAAGCCAGGAGGGCATTTCTCTCATCGGATGTGATACTTTTGCAGGATACGTTAATGTTAAGTGTTAGTGTTAGATGTGCCAAACATTTCAATAGTATGATAATATGTTGCAATAATTTGTGATTTACACATAAAATAGATTACATTTCTAAATTGCACCAATTTTATGTTTTGAATATGAGCATAATATGTGGACATTCATTATTTTGTTTGGTATACACTATAAATGAAAAACAGGTGCATGTCGAAATGTCGAATTAACAAATAAAATATTTAACTAAGCTGTTTCAATTGAATTAATAATTATTTATTAATAATTTTACAGAAGGACTAATTACATATTCAAGAGGTATTTTAATTGACTATTCTGCGGTAACTGGTGGCGAACAAATAAGAGAGCCGCAGCGGCAAGTATGGATAGACCAACCAAAGGCGATTAGATTTGGCAATGAGGCTGCTAAATGAAGGGCGGAATTCTGTGTTGGAGTTTCTTGTCTGTTCATGACATGCAACTCCACATTTTGGTGTCCTACGACCTCAACCAGTGAATGTCCCACAACTTCAACCACTTATAGAACGTGTGAATGCACCACGTCCTCCATCTCCAATTTTGTTGGAGTTACCGCCTCATCCACATCGGGAAGAAATTATCGCTAGATTATTGCCTCTACGGATACGACAACCTGTTCCTGAAAATTGTAAGAAATTAATAATATTAATGTATACGATTTAAAAAAAAAATAATAATAATAAAAATAACTGTTATTGTTTTAGTTCTTGATGTATCATCTAATTCAGATGATGAAGATAACGTTATAGCTAGAACACAGGCTAACCAAATCTTAAATGAAGACTTTAATAGTAATTATTTATAATTTAAATTAATTTCAGCTATTAATTGATTATTGTAATCTTGATTCATATTTATTATATCTAACTATTCTAACTATATTTTGTAATGTAAATGTTGACGTTGAGCTATAATAAATTATATATTTGGTTAAAAACCAAATAAATGAAAAAATAATAATAATCTATAATTGAGCGCCATTGCTATATATGTTTATCTTAAATTTGTTCACATTTTAATAAACGTGTATAATGATTAAAAAAATAATAACTTTTGTTGTTTTAGTTTTAGAAAACTCTGATTCAAACGACGAAGAAAATGTGATTGCTAGGTCACAGGCTATTAGACCACTTATATATCGGATCCATAATGAAGCCCTAAAGAGGAATACAATTAATTTTAACTTGAATGTTAGTGATGTTACTGTGGTTACTGTAGGTACTCAATCTAACCTACCTATATGTATAATATATATTATATTATATTATTATTATACCAGGTGGCAGGTATAAGCCTATCCCCATACATATAGGGAATGATTTTTAAAGTACGATCAATACTTTTTAATGCTTAAACTATACTTTTTATAACATAGATCCCAGCAAAATCGAATAAACAGTGCTAGGGTGAGTACCTTTATAAGTATAGGTACTTAACACATATATATATGTATATGTTAGCGTTAGTGTATGAAATTCCGTAGTTCTATAGAATAACTAGTTATTTTATAGAATTACGGGTACTTTCAGTTAATGTATTGAATGAATCCATAAATATATACTTCAACTAGTTATTCTACATACCAACTAGACATTTTATAAACTAACAATAAGGGTTTAGTTAATGTATTTAAAACTATTATTGAATAAAAGTTTTAATCAAATTACAAGTTACAAACAAAATCAAATATTATAGTATTAAGTCAAACAAGCCTGACAATATTATATAAAAAGATTAATATTAATTTATTTCACATCAATTTATAAGAATAATTATTAAAATCTTAATCAATTTACAAATTAAAAAATCAAATGTTATAGTATAAGTCAAACACACCTTACATTATTATATAAAATATTAATATTAATTTTTTTTCACGTAAATGTATTTGTATAATTTTTTTTTTTTAAATTTACAATTTATTTATTAGTACAGGAACTTTTTGGGTGGCATTTAGAATTTCAAAGTAAATTATTTTTTAAACATATGCATCGTTTTGTGGTGCACTTTTGTTGGCATGTACATTTAAAAAACCCTTGTCAATTACCAATTGATCGGATGCTTTCCGAAGGCAAATATCTACATCTGGAACGTCACTAAGCGTAATAAACTTTCAGTGCATAAACTAAACTGTGACCTCGCGTAAAGTTGTTTTAGTATACCGTATTTAGTTCCTAAAACAAAATTATTTGAATTATTAATAAATAAATAAAAAAAAAATTCTTTTTTTCCTGTTTTAATACGTTTCACTTCACTTATTAAGAAATCATATTTTTCTTTTAGCAAAAACGTGCTGTTATTACGCTCTGTTGTTGTATTTTTTATAATTGTATCAAATTTGGTTTTCATTTTAAAGCACACTTATTAGTTATTACACTATACAACACTAAAAATGATTAAACTAACTAGTAAGTAAACTCGCAGTACACTGTCACACGAATAAGTCTAGTCTATGCCAAATGGTGTGGTTCAATACTATCTTATTTTATTATTTTTATTAATAACAATAACGGTAACAAATTTTGTATGTTATCTAATCCAGTCCCGGTCATCTATCTAATGATATAAATTTCATACATTAACGAAAACCCGAGGAAAACCCAATCGGTATTTTATGTATTAAGAGGACGCTACACCCGCATGTGTTGTCTCCGTCTTACACACGTACGACATAGACAAAACGCGTTTAGGCAGTCTGAGTATAACTCGCTCAATTTTGGTTCTAGAGTAAAAATGCCTATTATGAAATTGAATTGTGATAATATTTCTAAGGGCAAGACGCTGCGGTTTTTCCATTATACCCAATATAACGTTCATTATATCGTTTAGAAATAGAAAAAATTTCACCATTTTTAAAATACCTTTGACTCTTAAAAAATTAAATTTTTTAAAAAAACCGCAAGACCCTTAGAAATATTATCACAATTCAATTTCATAATAGGTATTTTTACCCTAGAACCAAAATTGAGCGAGTTATACTCAGACTGCCTAAACGCGTTTTGTCTATGTCGTACGTGTGTAAGACGGAGACAACACATGTGGGTGTAGCGTCCTCTTAACTAGTAAAACCATGTAATTTATATATTAACGAACATATTTAGGAATTTTATAGAATAACTAGTTATTTAATAAAATAACGTATTACATACATTACATTACCGCTAACATATATATATTGATTAAATACTCGTTCCGCTGAAATTTTTTCGCACTGTGCGTACATCATCAATATTACTCTAATATACCTATACATTAATAAAAGAGATTACTCAAGCGATGATGAGTAAAACGGTTTGATTTGATCTAGAATCGCAAAAAAAAAGACAGCGCTGAGCGGCAGACGCAGAAAATATGATCACTGACGTAAAATGATCGGGTTAGCGCATATAGGTGTCACTAGGCCAGTCTTAACTCCTATAACCGTCAATGCTATATACACAATTGGGAAAATTCCATATTTCTTTGTAACCGACCTCGGAGTTTTTCCAAGTTTCTTCAGTAGGTTTAGGCATACACGTGGGTTGTAAGACATACTCCAAATTGCTGTACAGACTTCTTGGTCACTATAGTATGCCTACAGTTGTACGCAGTGTTGAATCCAGAAAATTTTTCTGGAAGGGGGCTCACCTTTTTTTCATTGGTGAAGGGTGATACGTCATTTTAGTATTATAAATTATATCTATTAATAGGTAGTTATTCTTATTACAATTTATAATTTAGACATTTCAAGTTTAGATAAAACTACAAACAAATTAAATACAAATTATTTTATTTTAATTTTTAAATCAATCTAAGGTTGTCACACATTATAAATCGTATTAAAAAAATCTAATATTTTTCTTTTGGACATTTTTGTTACGGAACAAAATACAGGTACAAACCACTAGGTAAAACTGATTAAACTTATTATTTTAGTCTAAACGGACCGTGACAGTAGTAGGTACGTAGTTTTAGATTATATCGTAATCTAGCCGTCATCATAAATTGTAATACGTGATAATTATTTTTCATTATCTTATAACTGCTATAATTTTGGGAAAGTCAGGAGATAGTCCTATATTGTCTCCTATGAGTCAAGAATATCTCTTACAAAATTGGGGGCACTTATGATAACTCCTATATGTAAAGTCACTCTACAACTGAATCATTAGATAAACTTTATGATAAATAATTTAAAGGTTAATGATCATCAATTTGTAAGAGATATTATTGACTCATAGCAGAGGAGCCCCATGCATTTCGTTTTTTTTGTAATTCACAAGTTTTAAAAATTTTGCAACAAATACATTTTTTTTAATTTTTTTTTTGACAACTGGGTCATGTATTGTCACCGACCCTAGACCTCCATACAAAATTTGAGCCTCCTAGGTCATGTAGAAGTGACTTAAATTGAATTCGTAAGATTTGATGACAACAGAAATGAAACATTGCGAGTTAAAGAAAAGCATATAAATATAAAAACTAACGAATGTTAATAGTGACTTCTTGTATACCTACTAGATATTTAGTATTTACATTCTTATAAACAATTATTTTATATAAACCTAGGTTACAACTTAACACTTACATTAATAGATTATGAACTACAATTAAGTAAATTAATATAATTTTGTATAATTATGATTAATAATAATTAGGAATTCACCGTAGAACTGTTGTGGAAGTTCTTCCTCTCACTGACTAATATAAAATGACTAAATGCTGAAATAGGAGTATCTACCTACCTATAAATATGACGATTGACGGGACTACGGGAGTCTTTAAAATATAATAAATTTATAATCCTAATTTTAACTTGAACGTGCAGCTAATATTTAGACATTTAGTAATAATGATCGATTTTCAAAACTACCTACTATGTTGATAATTGACTTGAGCGCTGAGATATATCTTAATTCGTGGACGGTTGTATAAGCAGCAGTATAAACAACTATCAACACAAATAAAAACACAATATTATCGGCTACTAACTGTTCTTAAAATATCACTCGGATACCCGGGCGTAATACCTATAATATTATAACGACATATTATTCTTAAACACTTGTAAATAATAATCGTAATATTATTTGTATAATACACAATACCTACACTATAAAATAGTATATAGTCACTAATCACTATAATGTATTTATAGTAATAAAACTGTTTCGTGCATATTCTAGTAAAATGTAAATTATTAAGAATACCAATAAATAATAATACCATATATTTATATTTGTTACGTACCTATCAATATATTAACTATGTACAATGTACATAGGCCCACATAGGGTGTTAATTTAGGGGGTGCTGCCGGTGCTGGGATAATTTATGGTTCACAGATCCGTGGGAGGCAAAAATCCTAATATTTCTGCATTGCATTAGATTTAATTTGTACAGTGTATACAATAATTTCTAAAGTGCAATGTATCAAATAGTCTGTATGATTGTAAAGAAGACGCTAGGTACACCCACATGTGTTGTCTTCGTATTACAGACCTATAGGTACAACATAGGCAAAACTGTTTTGCACGGGTATAAAAAACATTCAGGCTCTACTCTAAGCTAAAAAAACTAAATGTTCACACTAGAAAAATGAGAAAATTTACTCTGTAACTTTGTTTTTATATTTCCGATATCAAAACCAAAATAAAAGTTATTTAAGTTTGATAAACAAAAAAGGTGCTCTGCTGTACAGTAGGGTACAAGTGGGTCACTGTATAATCGATGGTATTAAATTTGAATTCAATGATATACTAACATCATTGTATAAGAAAAACGATTCTGAGCGAAGACGGTTAAGTCAGCCTATGATATTACTAA